CTGTATTGATCACTAATTTAATTCGTTGTTTCATTAATTATTCATATGTTTTTATTGATATTTGACCATTATCAATTGATTTACTATAAACATTACCGTTAGATACACAAACAATTAGTTTTCATATAATTATTCCCGTGTACATTCCATAAACATTACCAGCTAGAAAGATCCGACATCAAATTAGAAATGAAATGAATAGAGTTTTACGTCCTACTTTTCTGCACCTAATTGGGCCAATGAAGACAGGCAATGCCATGCAGTGTACAATGAGGGAAATTTTGCCATGAGAGTGTACAGTCTGCATCTAATTGGGATAATGAAGGCGGGCAATGCCATGCAGTTTGCAATGAGGGAAATTTTGCAACGAGAGTGTACAGTCTGCATCTAATTGGGCTAATGAAGGTGGGCAACACCACCAATTCTGTAACAAATGAAATGAAATGAATTGAGTTATCTGTCCTACTTTTCTGCACCTTATTAGGTTAATGAAGACGGCAACACCATGCAGTGTACAATGAGGGAAATTTTGTCAGGACAGTGGCATTAGCCTACTCTTTTTCGATTTCCAACTGTCGAGGGATCTTTAACATGTACAGTCTGTAGATTTACTTAAATTGTATGTTCATTCTAAGAGGTAGTTTCCTTTTAAGTTATTATATTAAAAACTAGGTTAAAATATTCAGTATATGTAAATAAAAACATTTTATATTCTAGATTTACACTATATATAAAAAATGTTGCTCGGCCACTTTTCTTCAAGGTGTCACTTTATCAAACCGAGTGTCAAAATTCAACTCGTTTGTAAATAAACCAGAGTTCGAATGAGGCAATTAAAATCGACCTCATTTTTAAAAGGGAAACTATATATCGCCTTATTAAATTGAATGAAATTTTCCATTAAATTTTTTGATTAGAAAATATTTAATTTACCAACGCCCATACGATTACAAATAGAGATAACTCGTTTTAGTCACTCTATTTATACAAATTATATTCCATTCGTTTTTTATATCCTAATATTTTGACTGCGGCCCAATGCGCTCTCCGAGAAAAGTATACCAGAATGAGGGACCTATATTCAAATAAGATAGGGGGAGGGGGGGGGGAAGGCTTCGCAACCCCGAAGGCATGTTTTTCGGGCAAAAATCTCATAAACTCGGGCAAACTCAGATATTTGCATCCCCCCCCCCCCCCCTCGGAGTTGATACGACAAATTTTGACCCTACCAAGAATGTTAGATGTCGTGAAACAGATAACTCAAGGCATATGTTTTTGACGAGTGGCCTAGAATGATGGACCTATATTCAAATAAAATTTTCAGTAAATGACTCAAGGCGTATGTTTTTGACGAGTGGCCCACAATGATGGACCTATATTCAAATAAGATTTTATGTAAATTCTATTCTATCTATGATATGATAAATTTTGACCCGACTAAGAATGTTAAACGTTGTGAAATAGACAAGACTCAGGGCTATATTATTCACAGCGTGAAATCTTCCCACACCTTTTCAAATGATAAACATTCTTTTGTTGTGTCGTGGACCGAGGTCGGGGGTTGGCATTAGCTTGTTTATATTTCATTTAATATCAAACCCCGTCAAAATATCACACCCCCGTCTATCCTTTCTATCATCCAGTCATATTTAGTCTATACATAGCTTCGCCACCGAAAGACAGAAGTCTTGGTGTCATAGACTAATCCCCGTTCACCACCGTGTGATATCAATCGAAAGTAGATAAACGTATACCATCACCAACAATGCAAGTTGGGTGGGGTTTTATTACGTCATCAAGAAGATGTGAACATACCTTGATTATTTTAGGGGTTGTACATAGTACAGAGTAGGAAGGGGAAGTCGACCAAGCGACTGACAGAATGAGAGCAATTGGCTTTCATTTGTGACACCCTAAGCGAACGACTCCCGGACTCCAAGCAAGGGCTAATAAAGCCCATAGTTTAAGCTTGGCCTATGTTGAATTAAGCTCGTAGCTGAAGCTTGGCCTATGCCGAATTAAAGCTCACAGGACGACCATTAAGCTCTAAAGACCTGGACAAACGAAATGACACGTTCGCCATCTGTTTGATCAATCATACCTTAGTCCCAGAAACGCATTTTTTTGTGCGAAGCCAAAACGTTATAGCATTCACAGTTTTGAAGTAAAAAGACGGTTTTAACAAAATGGCAAACAATGGCCTTTGAGAATGACCACTGAAGTCCAATGAAGCTTAAGCTCGATAATGGCAAAAGTCTGCGATACAGTTCAAAGAGATCAGATCACTACAAAAGTTGATAGTAGATTCGCTCGACTAGATATTTTAAAGTACAAATTTTTCAAATACCCTCTGTTCACTAGAGCGGAGAACAGTAAAAGTTTCACCCTGTGTTCACTAGAGCGGAGAACAGTAAAAGTTTCCCCCTGTGTTCACTAGAGCGGAGAACAGTAAAAGTTTCCCCCTGTGTTCACTAGAGCGGAGAACAGTAAAAGTTTCCCCCTGTGTTCACTAGAGCGGAGAACAGTAAAAGTTTCCCCCTGTGCTCAATAGAGTCAGAGACAGAGAAAGTTTAATGATTTATTTTGTTAAAAGATAAAAGAGGTGAAACTAGTCAAGTATGAGAATTAGCTGGACGGAAGGTTTAAAGATTCATAGTGAACCACTTACAAGGGACAGTTTCACCATCCGTTTGATTAATCGTATTAAGACGAAGGATTAAGATATCCGGTGAACCAATTTAAAAACATGGATCAATATTGTCAATGAAGCGAGTTGAGACCCCCCATCCACTCTCCCAACCCCCCATTGAGATATTCTTTATAGTAAGTAGCCCTATGGGGAATGCTTCACAAGGATAAAGCGTCTTGTCGTTCGGATAGGACAATAAACCAAGGACACGTGTACTACAAACTGTACACGTTAAATCGTAAAAGAGTCTTGTCGTTCAGATAGGACAATAAACCAAGGCCACGTGTACTACAGACTGTACACGTTAAATCGTAAAAGATCTTGTCGTTCAGATAGGACAATAAACCAAGGACACGTGTACTACAGACTGTACACGTTAAATCGTAAAAGAGTCTTGTCGTTCGGATAGGTCAATAAACCAAGGACACGTGTACTACAGACTGTACACGTTAAATCGTAAAAGATCTTGTCGTTCGGATAGGACAATAAACCAAGGACACGTGTACTACAGACTGTGCACGTTAAATCGTAAAAGAGTCTTGTCGTTCGGATAGGACAATAAACCAAGGACACGTGTAAACGTTAAAGATCCCCGGAAGTTGGAAACCGAGTAGGCTAATGCTGTCCTGACAGAATTTACCTCATTGCACACTGCATGACTGAGGTTTATGTATAAGCGAACCATTATAGTTTATTTTGAAAATATCTTTCGTTTTTTTGAGCCCACAACATTTTTCAGGAGCTGATTCATTTTAAACTACGTATTATAATATACATTGATAATTTTCACATGACATTGTCCATGGGGGCGTTAACACAATCCTCACCGTAATACATTTTTGAATTCAAACTAATTTGTTAACCCACGCCGAAAAATTTGACCCCAAGGTCATTATAAATAATATTTTCATTGATATCGGCTCACAAAATATCTACCCTCAAATATAAAACCGGTTTCTCCACCGTTTTCTTTTGTTATGTTCGATGTTTTGATCTAGTGAATGGGTTGAACTAGATATGAGATGAATACAAAGTAATACGTTTTCTGATCATCTACTACGGTGTATAGAAATTTAAAAAATAAACAGAACGTAGGTTACTATGACTGCATGTTTGCATAGAAGAAATATAGCATTATGCATGGACGTAATTACATTAAAGATTAGCAGGGCATCTTCATAATGTCAAGCTATCACAAACTGCGTCTTATACCTTGACTACAATAGTCATTATTCTTATATCAATCTTACAATGTCAACCTACATTTTCATAATGTCAAGCTATTACAAACTTCGTCTAATATTGACCGCAATATTCACTTTTTCTGGTATCACAGCAGTTTGTAAATGAAGCCATTTGATTGGATCGTACGCTAGCGAATAGAGCCAATCAAATCCCTCGATAGAAAGACTGTTAATGGGTTAAGAGCCTAGGTTTGAGGGTACATATTGTAAGGTACATATTTGTTAGATTCAAACTAAAACAAAGTAGAAATGACACATTTATATGACGGATCGGCCATCAACGTGAACCCTAAATTAGCTTGTCCATTGTGGCTTTACATGCTGGCCACTGGTCAAACCGGTCAAGCATTCAGGCTTTACTATTGTCACTGATGAATGAGCTGTATAGCTCAACATCATTTATCCATGTTTAGGAAACGTAGACTAATTTGTACCTTTAGTCTTAAAGAGATTGTAAAGAGGTTTTGTAAATAGTTTATGTGTATCATCTAGCTTCCGGTAGCTCCCCTCCAGTGACGTCATCAAACACTTAGTTTTAGTGGAATTGCAGGAACTACAGACGTCTGATTGAAAATTAGAATGGTGTAAATTGATGCTATCAGTGTCTCTGATACACTTAAAACATTTAGAAAACCTCCTTACAATCTCTTTAACAAGAACCACAGACATCTGATTGAAAATTAGAATGGTGTAAATTGATGCTATCAGTGTCCCTGATAAACTTAAAAAAATTTAGAAAACCTCTTTACAATCTCTTTAACAAGAACCACAGACGTCTGATTGAAAATTAGAATGGTGTAAATTGATACTATCAGTGTCCCCGATACACATAAACCGAGGCCCTGTCTGCTACAGGCTGATCCCTGGACAGTTAACGATCAAACAGATCAGACCAATGTAGCTTACCGGGCAAAATTTCCCCTATTGTTCAATGCATGGCGTTGAAAGACCGTACTAGCCAGAACAGTTGGACATGAAACCCCTCCATTGCACACTGCATGGCATTGGGTGTCAATTTATTAGTTTTTCAATAAAATGTTTAATTGTTTATTATTTATATTTTATAGGAGATGTTTCTTGGTACTGACTCTAACAATGATAAAAAGATTACCAAGGCCGAATTCCTCAACGAATGCGTTGAAAAATTACCAAGAAAAGAAGCCATGTAAGTTATAGAATTATCATTTGGATTCTTGCCAAAACTTAATCCTCCCTTCCCCATTATGAATCCAGTCCCCAAGTAGCTAGCCCAAGATCTCAGGGGTGGAGACGAGGCAGGGTTGTTGCCCTCTGCCCTACTCCACCCCACGCATTTAACTTAGAAAACGTTTTATTTTGTTATTCTGATTTTATTCCATAATATGGAAAATGGCCGCTATCGACTTCCATGTGATGGAAAATGGCCGTTATCGGCTTCCATATCATGGAAATGTCCGCTATCGTATTCCATATTATGGAAAATGGCCGCAATCGGTTTCCATATTATAGAAAATGGCAGTTTTCGACTTCCATATTATGGAAAATGGCCGTTACCTGCTTCCATACAAAACATAAATGCAATAATATGACCCCAACGAAAGCATTTTGAGAGATAGCGAGAATTTGACCAATGAACAACGAATGAAGGTAAAACTACCACAAAACATATACCTACAATATATCACGACTTTAGCTTCGCTTTTATATCCTGTAGATCTTAGACTAATAATATACAGAGTTACACACGTTAAAGGGCATCTTCACAGCGTTAAACTATTACTAACTTCTTCTTATACCTTGACTACAGTATCAACTATTCTTGTATCACAGAATGAAGCGATTTGATTGGATTGTACGATAGCAAATACAGCTAATCATAGCCCACGACATAAAGACTGTAAATATTATGCCTCATTAAGGTTTATTGTTTATAGATTTTTTATCGAGGACCCTGATTGTCTGTATTCGAGTAAAATCCAATCATATTGCAGCATTTACAAACATCTATGACACAAAAATTTGCTATTGCTGTCAAGGTATAGGACGTAGTACGTTTAAAACTCGATAAGTTGGCAGTGCCTCTATAGTGCAGCATGAATATCACTTTGAAACCCAGTTTGTTAATTTGGTAGCTTTTTTCTCATTTCATTACTTGGCTTTTTATAATTCGAATATTAAAGATGGGTTTCCTTATTTTTTAGTGTCAAATTAAGCAAACTATTTGATTAATTGGATGTTTCTAATGAATTATCATGTATTCTTAATCATATCATTATGTTCTTATTGCATATAATTAAGAGTTTTAACCAATCATAAATGTCCATGTATGTTCAGTCTGGATAAACAAAAACAGACTTTTTGACCTTTCTTGATCGGTCACTCATTGGAATTCTGCTGGTAATTCTCTTCTAATTTAGCTAATTATGAATTAATTATGGACATGTGAGACAAACTGGTTTTTTTCCAAGTCATTAGAACACCTCTACTTTCTATTCATATAAGTATTAGCATTTTCGTTTTCAAAAATGAAAAAAAGGGAACCCATCTTTAACTGATTTGTAAAAAAGTGGCTTCTGTTAGATGGTTAAATGATTAGACCGTGGGATGTAGTGAAAATTGGTGGAGTTTCCCTATTAAAATGTTCCACCCCTGTTGACCTCGTATCTCCTACGAATATATCCTACCCTGCATGTTATATACAGTAGTCTAGTAAAAAAATATTACCTTATTTCCTTCATCCTTTCTGTTTCTTGTCTTTCTCCTTTCCTGTACAACTGTTCTGTCTTGTCTGCCCCGTCTTCATTAGCTCAATGAAGAGACGGGCGTAAAACTCCATTCATTTCATTTTCATTAGCCCAATCTGAAACAGAAAACGAGACGTTAAGCCTCATGTTTAATTTGTACATTTTTTAAGGGGGCGAATCCCCCCCCACCCCCCTTTTTTTTGAGCTATGGGCCTGGTAGGCCCACGTTTGAGAGTGACAGTGAAAACGTTCCCTTCAAATTTTTCAATTTCGAAGTTGGCAAACTACAGACACCAGCATGACCATAATAGGACATAGACTCATAAATATTCATAAGAAGCAGGCTCTGAACATCAACTTGGCTAGCTTAGAAATATTCTGATTTAGATTTTACATAAATAAAACGACAAATTACTTGTGTAGAGAGAAATAAACCCAAAATTCACAACGAATTCTTATTTATGCCGCCATGAAAGTTAACAGACTGAATAAACCTCCATAGCAGAAGAACTTATTACCTCCCCTTCGATAAAATGTTTCAGACCACAATAAAGTAATATAAAAAAGGAACCCCACCCCATCCTTTGTCACTGTTTCTGTCTTTGGTATTTATCCACTATTGCATGTCACCCTTCACTTCCTTGGTCTATGGTATTTAAGGTCTATCAGAGCTCTATTTCAGCCATCAGTATCACTTTTAAGTATTAAAATACAGCTTCAGTTTACCCCACAATTCGCAAAAACGTACTGTACAAAAAAGTGCTACAGATAGCTGAAATTGAGCTCTATATTTAAGCTTATAAAACAAATATATCTATTTGAAAATGTTTACGGCAGCCCAATGAAAAAATTTCAGTAAAATGCACACAAATTGAAATATTATCAAAAATATTTCTGTGGAATTTATTTCGAGGGCTTCAAATCTGGTAAATTTGTTACAAGCAGAATATTCTTGTGTGTCCCTGACGGAACCAAAATACAGTCAAGGGGTAGAATTTTCCTTTTTCGTACAACTCTTAAGTTAAAACCTACCCCGCGAATGTATTTTGGTTCGGTGTGGGGCAAAGGGGCATTGTAGAATATCTGGTGATGTCTTAATAGACTCATTAATGGTTTAGCTTTGTATAAATACCAACATTTAACGAAATTTGGCTTTTAAGATCGTGAAAATAACACGTGATCTTTAGACAGCTGGATAACTAGGCCATTATGTAATTTAAAAATATCATTAAAAATGGAATTAGGTGTTCTTGTAAAATATGCTTGTAAAGCTCTGTTTACAGGACGAGAATTTGAATTTTAACAAAGGAATACGACGTAAATTTCGCCGTTTAAACGGGGCTTGAAACAAATATGATACTACAGTCGAATCTCAAATATGTTTTCGTTAATATCATAAAAAATTGAATTACAAGCTCGTGGAAAATATAACAGCCGAATTTTAAATCTTCTAAATATTTTCAGACGCTGTCATCTAAATCTGTTCTTCAAAGAAAAAGATTCCGATAACAGTGGACTTCTAGAAGCTGATGAAGTTAAAGAAATTTTGTTGGCTGAAGCCGATGGTGATGAGATCACTCCAGAATATGTGGATTCCGTTATAGCCAAGGCTGATACCAGTGGCGATGGAAAAGTCTCCTTGGAAGAGCTTAACAATTTGTTATCGGAGGATTAAATTTTCTTTTGTTATTTTGAATTCATTTTGCAGTCGAATTAAAATTAGACCAAACTTTTTTTCCTTATCCTTAGCGTTTGTTTGTTCTCAACCACACAGTTTCAAGGAATTATAAAGAGATTTTGAAATTAGAATGATGTAAATTGATGATATCAGTATCTCTGATACACATAAACAATTTAGAAAACCTCTTTACAATCTCTTTAACAAGAACCACAGACATCTGATTGAAAATTAGAATGGTGTAAATTGATGCTATCAGTGTCTCTGATACACATAAAAATTCAGAAAACCTCTTTACAATCCCTTTATGCAGTGATTCCCTAACGAAATAAACGGATCGAAACGTTGTTCTAATTTTAATTAGACTGACAATTTTTTTGTATTGTTTTATTATTCAAAGTATAATCAATAATATTAAAATTGCATTTTGTCTGTTGTCATGGAAACGCACTTACTCATCCGAGTGTACACATAAGTGACGCTATTGTAAATTTAGGGCAGTTATCTGGACGCACGCAAGTTGTCAACGCCATCCACAGACAACACCAGTATTGAAATCTTTACGCATAATTTGAACAAGGCTTTTTTCTTGCCATTTTGGTTGTTTCCATTTAAATTTCGAGCCAATTTTTTTTCATATTCGAATTTGAATTTTTTATATGAATCTCGGATATAAATTGTTATTTCGAATCGTCTTCTGTAGAATAGATTAAATTGATAAAGATATGAACTTTTGCTTTAAACTTTATTATTTATTATTGTTATATTGTGGTCTGGATTAGAGCCTTCTAGACAAGAGTTACTTCCCTTCCAGTGCTTGCTTTCATGTGACAGGCAGTAGGATTGCTTTGAAAGAGGTATTTATGTTAAACAAACAATGCCTGGTGTCTGATTGGGGTCTGCGGTAAGTCTGTGGACGCTCATGGGCGCAAACCTCTCTTGGGGTTCTCCTCCATGAACATTTGAAAATTTGTCGGGCTTGGCGATATCGCGTCTGAGGAACTAGGTAGGTATTACATCCGAATATCGCGTCTGAGGAACTGAGTAGGGTCAGGGTTGTCGGGCGTGACCATATCACATCCGTATATCACGCCTGGGGAACTGAGGAGGTCTTATCCCATCCCATTAACTTCGACTAATAACTTAAAAAAACGAGCTCGATCATTTCATTCCATTAAAGAACTATCTCTAGGGTATACCTGAGGACGACGGGAGAAACACGTCGAAACGTTGCATAAACATTTAACCAGTGATTGTTGTTCCATAAAGCTGTGTCTATATATCGTACTCACAATTGCTAAATGCCTATCTCTAGGGTAGTGAAGATATCACATTCTTATATCACAACTTAAGAACTGGGTAGGATCGGAATTGTCGGCTAAAAAGCTAGTTCATTTCCCCACTGGCGTTTCGGGGAATCTATAGGTGTAGTGGCCACAGGATTGTCAAAGGGTGGGGGGGGGGGGCTATGCATTGAAGAACTCAGTGATAAAGAATTTGAAACTAGGGTGAGTGGAGTAGTTTTATTTGTGAGTGTGGCCCTGCCCCTGAATACCCACCCGTAGAAAGTAGCAAAAACAGAATCACACGTTTAAGAACTCAAAGATAAAGAAATTTGAAACTAGGGGTGGAAGGGATTTCAAAATCGGGCTAGCCTTATTTGTGTGTGTGGCCCCCTGCCCCTGAAAACCCACCCCACCCCATAGAAAAACTAATATACTTCCCCTCAGTCACGAACAATCCTTCTTATTTCAGAAAATGTCACCTGAATCTACTGTTCAAGAAACTAGATATAGATAACGATGGCTCTCTCGACTCCGGGGAGCTGAAAACATTGTTTCAAGAGACAGACGGTACCCAGGAAGAAATCGAAGATGCTATCGCTAAGGCTGATATTAATGGCGATGGGCAGATTTGTATCAAAGAAATCAATCGAGTTTTAGAAGAATGTGACTAGATCTGGTCGTTAGCTCTGTCAACTGGTTCGTGTACGGGCGTTTTGATGTGGGGTGCCTCTTTGTGCCTCTTAGGGACCATGCCTGTTAATACCTTATAGCCAAGGAGCACGGTGGGGATAAACCTTCTGATTTGGGATTTTCTACTGGTACCTGTATTGGAGGTTTGATTTAGAGTACCTCACTGTGCCCATTACTTCTGGTATTAGGGGGTGAAAGCCGACACTGGGCTGATTCTCGGAAGCACTGACACAGGCATCAGGAAAGAAACACGAACTAGTTGGCGTGCTAATTTACCGGATATATTATATTATTTTTTTGTTAGTTTTGTTAAAAGGTGATAATGTTGCCATGGTTTCTAATAGATTGAAATTTAGTATTCGTTTTACCTGTAGTATCTTATGTATCGGCCTACCTGCCTCGGGCGACAACTGGCCAAATTGCTATCAGAGGCTGGAATAAAGACAGATGTTTTGGTCTACTGTCATAGTAACACAATGTTTTAAGTATCAGAATCTCTTCAAAAACTTTTCAATACTTTACAAGACCAATACTCTTTCAAATTTTATCTATTAAACTTTTTTATTTGTGTTAGTTTTCTAACATTAAGACTAAAATATTAAAACAGAACCTGAAACATGTATTTGGACACTTTTTTAACAGTGAATATATTTTGTTATTATATTGAAATTATATTTTAGATTATTTTTTCATAATGAGCAATATTCACTATAATTTTAGCAATGCAATGTAGAGTTTTAACAGAAAATTAAATATTATATTAAAATACTTTGTGTTTTCCTTACAAAAAGATGTGTAGGCTAGCCCATTGACGCTTTCATCAAACTCTGATGGAAGCCCGCCCCAATTTCATTATTTTTAAAACAAGGGCAACGACACTAGGGACGTATCTAGAAAATGTCGCAGGGGTGGGGAAGGGGTGCAAAAATATGTTAGGCGAGGCGAGCCGAGGCGAGGTCAGAGGACCGAAACTCCTTATGGCCAGGGTGTCTGGGGCCTGTTGGCTGCAGAGGCTCCCAGAAGCCAACTTCAACATAAGGCCTTTCACGTGACTGAGGGGAGGGGGGGGGGGGGGTCATGATCCAATGGCCCATCCCCTAAATAAGACATTCAACGTTATGATTTCAATAAGAGGCCTATCAAGTTTATACATTTATAAATGGGCAGAGCCACTCCAGGTTCCGAAGTTATGAAAAGAGATATGGGCATGCTAGTCGGGCCCGTAGCTAAAGGGAGGGCAAAGTTGAATAACTGTAGGCCTACCTGTAAGCCCTCAAGTTGTTGTGATAGATAAAGCCAACCTTCTGCTTCTGTTGAATATCTACAAAACAAATAAATAATAGATCAAACATATTGAAGATATAAGTTGCTTATTTCAAAAGCATTAACCTTATAATGTAGCCTAGTGCAAGTTAATGGGTAAATTATGGTCAAAGGGAGATAACCACAAATAATAAACTATACTAATCAGACTACAATTAAATTGTATATTGAACGTTCTATAGTGTTATTGCAATAGGCCTTATAATTTATAGCAAACATAGTCAGTGCCTTCCATGCTGTGTTTTTGACTAGTTTAATTGTATGGGATAGGCTATCAAAGCTGAAAAGTGTTACGGATGGCCGAAATTCAATTCTGTCAGTAGAATGAACCAATGATTGACTTTCATCATTAAGTATTGCGGTGGGTGTCTCTAGTGAGGCAGGGCATGCCTACCCTTCGAAACATCTAATGACACCTAGCGTTGGGGTTTTTCAACTCAGTATCCCAAAGTTTTCCACATTTCTTAGCTAGCTGTAGCCTACACTTAGCTAGTTTATTGCTTGGTCTATTTTGGTCGGCCTACAATTATTGGGCCTATTGAAACATCTCAAGAATAGATTTAAAATAAAGCTTGGAAGCCAACATAGGCTTTAAATAGGAATTATCTAAAAGGTTGTGCTTTGATTTTAGCCATTTTCAAGGTGTAAAAAGGGGAATTTGGGGATTCTGCGAAATTAGTTTCCTAAAAAATTCTATTTAATGAAACGTGCGTTAGTTTTGTGGAGAGGGTGGGATTTTATTCTTCATTTGGACATGAATTTTATCCATGTTTCACCTTAACAAGTCGTAGACCTTTAAAATTATAGGAAAAAAACAACTTTTTTCGTTAACCTAAATAACTCTTTTGCCCCCAGCTCGTCTGCTGAGACCCATTTACTTTCAGTTCATCTCCGCGATGAAATATAGTTCTGAGTCAAGGTCATGAAATATTTCGAATTTAATTCATTTTTGGTCAATAAATTTAAATGAAATTTATATAAAATAAATAAATGGCGATTTGGAATCAGACAATTTAGAATTAAAGGGTTTAAATATGAAATTTCTAAACGACGAAATTTTTCCCCAATTGTGCTGGCGTCACCACCATTTTCGATGACGTCATTTCTAAAGAATGAACCAATGAGAATCGAGGAGGTGAGAATTCGACCAATCAGAAGGCAGGAAACGTCAGCATGGCGGAGGAATACCTCCTGTTGTTTTCAGTGATTCGGTCTTGTTGTTTGAAGCTCTGACGCTGTTCGTGTAATTTGACGTGGCCATTACGTATTCTGCAAATTTATCCACTCCGATTGCGGCAAAATTGGTGACGAAAAGTACGTAATCGGTAAGTACCCATTCTCATAATATCAACTTGGAAGCATGGTCACGAAAAATTTATAAAAATGAAGGTAATTCGTTGTTTTATTATCCGACATGACAAGAAAATTTCAACAGTTTTCGGTCATTGACCATCTTTTTCGACATCCGCTTTTCTGACTTGTTTACAAAATTAAAAGTTTTTGGGGGAATCCCAACTGATTTGTTACGTCATTAATGGTACCTGTCGTTCTTGTATTCCCCCCTTCGTCTCTTCTTTTGATTTGTTTATTGACTGTATTTTTTTTCACATCACTTTTTTGAGAGTTTAGACCAATGTCAAATTAATAAAATGTCTTCCTGGTCACTGACATTTGAATCTCCGACTAAGTTTACTTTTTTTATTATATTTTGTTCTTTGTTGACAATCAATGACACTTTTCTGAGTTTGAGTTATTTTTTTAATGAATTAAAATAGCTCTCAAATTGGATGGAGTTGTGTATGACAATTTGATTGAACCAAAGTCTTAGAAATTAAAAAAGATTTTCATTCAAAAATGCCACATTTGGTAATTTTTTTGTGTGTTTAAAATTTATGTAAATAATGGATGATTCCAATTAGGCTAAGATTCAAAATCAAATGATATTTCAATTAAATCTGCAAGGCATTAACGACCATTACATTGCATGTATTGTCAAAAGAATTATGTAGGGCTACCCACTTTTAATTTTTTTAAAAGTTACCCTTAACCCTTTTCAGACGTAGGCTACCTTGCTTCCGATAAACAATGCAAATTAATTGCTTTTTTTTTTTGCTTTTTTCATGGAATATTGCTAGTACCACGTTTTTTCATTTTTTACAAAAGTTAATCCTAGCCCATTTCAGACTATTTTCCTTGCCTTTTTACTGATAATTTTCAGTTCTAATGGATTTGTTACAGGTATTGCTCTTTTTGTTTTGCAGGAATGTCCGAGGGTGTGATGACCCATGGGGATGTGGAGAACGGAAATCAGGGGATTCAAGTAGTTCACGTCTCCATCCCAAATCAATCTCAAGTTCAGTCAGTAATTCAGTCAAATCAACAATCTGTTATTCATTCAGCTAATTCAGCGGTTCCTACTATTCAAGTTGTCAGGGTAAGTTTTAATCAGACCCTAGACCACGTCCTAATACCTATCCTTGCCCGTGCCAGGCTATATGAATATCTCCTTGAAGGGGCTAACAACTTTCAAACTGTGTAAACGTCAATGCTTCCCTCTAACGCTGGGTTGGAACACTGTCTTTTAGTGGCAGTGGAATAGCTCGGTCGGTGGCGTGATAGATTGTTATTAGGTGTCATGGGTTTGAATCCTCAAGGTAGAAAAAGTTCAGATGCCTCTGCCCGAGAGTCCGCTTTCAACTTCTAATATCTAACTCTAGCTCTTAAATTTGAAGATCTAATTCTGGTCTCAAACTTTAACAGTTATACTGTCAGTATTAAAAAGTTATAATTGAGATTTTATGCCGAAATGATCTGTTGTTTTGTGATTAATTAATGTTTTTGAATATAATTAATATTTTAGGTAGCAGCAGTAGATGAAGAAATATCAGATGATTCTGAAGCTCGTAAAAGAAGAGAAGTCTTAGCAAGACGTCCTTCTTACAGGTCAGTTCATACCTAGTTCTCCCTTTAGAGTGTTCGCAAGTCATCAGTCCAGTAGACCTTTCATTTTCTTTGATAAAGCTAGAAAGTCTCATAAAAGCACTGGCCTAGGTGATAAAGTAAAGATATATGCTACAACAAGGTACAAAAGTTAAGAAAATAGCTTGTCTTTTTGCTCCTTATTTTAACGATATTTTTCAATGTGATGTTTTTCTTTTTATAGAAAATTTTAATTATAATTGTTAATATTTTGTAGAAAAATTCTGAATGAATTATCCTCCTCCTCTAATACCAAGATGGATGAAGATTCTAACTCTAGTTTAAGTCAAGAGGGCGCTGGAGAGATTATTGAGGCTCAGAATTTATCAAGTAGTAACGCTGTACAATATCAACAAGCTACAGGTAGGTCCCAGTCCAATCCCTACCCCCCCTGCCCTTCTCTGAATCAACCAATTTTTTACAAGGATAACATAGGTTAATGAGGATCCTGTCTACTTGCAAGCTTAATAAAATTAGAGCAAAACTTTTTTTTTTTTTTATATTTTTCGTCTTCATTGTGATCTAACAAGATTGTACCACAGTCCTGTTCTAATGACTCTATTTTTAACCAATCAAAGTGTGTCATGTAGAACCTGTTTTCATGTTTTAGTGGTACCTGCAGGAACTATATTGGCACAGAGTGATGGGGTTAATTCTGGGCAGGGATTACAGACGTTAACCATGACAAATACTAGTCCAACATCCGGTACGACGGCCCAGAATGCTACCATAGTTCAATATGCACAGGGCCCTGGTGGCCAGTTTTATATCCCAAGTAAGTCTTCGTTTTTTTATTTTTGGTAGCAGGCACTCCATGCTGTGTACATTGAAGGAAATTTGACGTTTATTTCAACCAATCCCTGCGTGTCATCCAGAATCTGTATATATTGACTATGAATTGTGGAATGACGAAACCCAAAGTAGAGTGATATGACCAATGAGATTATGAGACTGTTGATATTCGCTTGTAAAAGAGATTCTGATTGGCTGGGGAGTGGCGTGTTATTGTCTGCTATAAATAGCTTGAAACGTCACCAGTACACAACCTTGGTATAAATTTTGTTTCTTACATTGGAGACCGACCAAAATTTTTTTTAAATAGACCAGTTTTCTCATGCATTAATTAATTTAAAGTTACAGTGGGAGGAACAAACATGCAGGCGTATCAAATAGCAACCACAGATTCCATTCCACAAGGTGTTGTCATGGCAACCACAGGAAGTCCCTTATCCAGTGGAACAGGAAACGTTTCCGAGGAAGCCTCCAGGAAGCGTGAATTACGTTTATTGAAAAATAGGTAGGTGTTCATATTTTATTTTGTTTTCACAACTTTCTTTTGAGTTTTATTTATTTAACCTTGTTTCCACCTGTCAGTGATGCAAACATGTTTCAAAAATACACCTTTTGTTTGCGGCACAAAATCAAAGCACTGGAGAGGGAAGTAATTTGATTGGTTCAAATAGATGTGGTTAAGTTAGGTCAAAAGGTTATTGGAATGAATGTTCAAGAGGGCCGTCTTTAGACCCTAACTGAAGTGGCAACATTAAAAATTAAAGCTAATAACAAACGCAACAAAAATTTGGTCTAATTTTAATAAGATTAACAGAAGTGGTCTATATTAAAAATAAAAGCTAATAAAAAACGGCACGAAAGGCCCTTAATTCGATTGAATCAAGTTGAATAGATTATTAAAATTATGTTTTATATTTTTAGGGAGGCTGCTCGCGAATGTCGAATCAAGAAAAAAGAATATGTGAAATGTTTAGAAAACAGAGTGGCAGTTTTAGAAAATCAAAATAAAACATTAATAGAAGAATTAAAAGCTCTGAAAGAATTATATTGTCAAAAAGAATAAACTACGAATGGACAATCGAAAAATGTGCTATATATTTGACTAGTTTAGTGAAATTAGAACTCGTGGAACAGTGTTTGTTCAAGTTTTGGAAATTCAAGATGAATGCATGAAGAGATTAGCCGCAATGTAGTGCCGCGTAGAGATATTAAAAGGCGTAAGATGATCTGATTTACATAATTATCTCATATTAAATATTGTCATTTCGTTCCGTTTTCAGCCTGACTTCATTTTATCAACCGTCAGTTCTCATCTGTATATTGCTCATACCTCAGAATAGTCGTGACCTCTCACCTTGACCTCATGACCTCTCACCTTGACCTTAGCTTCACATTGTGTTACAAATTTGTGAATGAAGTTTTTTGGTTCTTTTTAAAGGGAATTGTAACTAATTTTGTAAGTTAGCCACGCATTTTTAAAAAGAAAAAGCATTTAGTGCTGCAAATTAGTGTCAAGTATCCCTTTAATATGTAAATGAAGCACTGATAACTGAAATGAGTTCAGCTTGTTAAAGGGATTGTTAAAAAAGGTTTTCTAAATTTTTCATGTATATCCGGGACACTGATAGCATCAATTTACACCATTCTAATTTTCAATCAGATGTCTTGTCATTTGTGTAATTCCACTAAAACTAAGTGCTTGATGACGTCATTAATTGCAAAATATGCTTTATCACATAAGGCCAATCGCAATTAGTGACGTCATCAAGCACTTAGTTTTAGTAGAATTACAGGAACCACAGATGTCTGATTGAAAATTAGAATGATGTAAATTGATGTTATCAGTGTTCCTGATATACATAAATAGTAAGTAAACCTCTTTACAATCTGTTTAAAGTAAATATTTAGGTAAGGATAGTAAAAGATATAAAGATATATTATGTATATAAAGAGTACTTGTTGTATTTATTATATTTCTTGTTTGTTATTTAATGTTTCATTCTTGTTATTTCATTATTTTGTCTTCGTTGTTACATTATAAATATTCAGTTTAATTCAAATTAGACCAAAATTTCGTTTCGTTTGTTATTAGCTTTTATTTTTATGTATCCACTTCAGTTAGGGTCTAAAGACAGCCCTCTTTAACGTTTGTCAAATTAACCTTTGGACCTAACCTGATAAACACTGCGTCTCAAAATGCCAGGGCTGGAGAGGGTAGAAATACCATTGGTGAAAGCAGACATCATCGAGGTCAAAAGGTTATTGAAATGAATGTTCAAGAGGGCTGTCTATAGACCCTAACTGAAGAGGCTATATTAAAAATAAAAGCTGAAAAAAATATGGAATGAAAGATTGGTCTAATTTTAATAAAACTGATAAATATTAAGCCGTGAACTGGTTGAGCTCTTTTGTAATCGTCCAGGCATTTCTGTTTGCCCATGCTCTATTAAAGGGTTTTTATGTGGGGAAACGGAAGATTGATCTAGATTGTAAAATAATCTCAACCAGTTCAGGGTTTAATATCATTTTCATTATAGATATCATCATCAAATCATATCTCGTGGATTCATAGATAATTATAACAACATTTCATTTATTTATTATTGTTTAAAAGGATTGTAAACCAGTTAACATCAGTTTACATGGAGGTTTTCTAAGTTTTCAACCATTCCAATTTTCAATCCTACGTCTGTGGTTCCTGTAATTCCACTAGAAACTAAGTGTTTGATGACGTCACGGGCCTTGCATATTTTGCAAAAAGTGACAGCATCAAACACTTAGTTTTAGTGGAATTGCAGGAACCACACACGTCTGATGTAAATTGATGCTATCAGTGTTCCTGATACACATACAAAATTTAGAAAACCTCTTTTCAATCTTTTTAGGGGCTTTGATTATCAGTATTTTAATAAATTGCCGTCAAAAACGATGGTATTTCATTTTCTTTAGATTTTTTAATGCATTAATTTAGATTTTTCATATTAACACATAAGATTAATGAGTTAATTTTTTCGCCGATCATATTTTAAAACTTGTGAATTCAGCTTCATCAAGCTCTGTTTATGCAGCAATTTCTCCAGTGTCAAAAAATATTATTAACTTATCTGTTAAAAAATTCATATGTGTTCAGAATTATCCAGGCTTGAAAGTTAAAATGACTCGTCTTTTCTTGAGACACTGTGATATATAGAAAAGATATCTATAGAAATAGTGAGTAAAATTCCTAGTTTGAGATATTTTTAAAGGAATTATGAGTGTTTTTCGTACATTTCTAGTATTTCTGAAGACTATTTACATATATTCAAGACTCAAATCAACCTGTGAAAATGGCGAATCAGTCCTGTTAGTACCACCAAGCCTTTTAGTCACCAAGTTTTAGAGTTTAACCTGTGCCTTACTCTCTCTCTAGATATTGTTCAGTGTTTATCCTAGTTACAATATAGATAGAAATACTTCACTATATTAAAGATATTCTTCTATGAAGAAGGTAAAGAAAAGATTTTGTAAAGTTTAGATCTTAATATGTAATGTTTTTTGTAACGGATTTGGTATCCATTTTGTCTGAAATATTTGGACATCCTAAAAGATATCTTTAATTAAAAGTCTTGTCTAAAATTTATTAGACTGGCTTCTATACCATTGTAGTCTCACAATAATCATATTCAATAATGGAACACAATTTATGATATACTCCAGAGTTTGATTGTACACAACGTTTCAACAATTTACATTGTCATCATCAGTTTATATAGTATACTACTCCTGAGTTATATTGTACACAACGTTTCAACAATTTACATTGTCATCATCAGTTTATATAGTATACTACTCCAGAGTTTTATTGTACACAACGTTTCAACAATTTACATTGTCATCATCAGTTTATATGGTATACTACCCCAACGTTTCAACAATTTACATTGTCATCATCAGTTTATATAGTATACTACCGCAACGTTTCAACAATTTACATTATCATCATCAGTTTATATAGTATACTACCCCAATGTTTCTACAATTTACATTATCATCATCAGTTTATATAGTATACTACCCCAACGTTTCTACAATTTACATTATCATCATCAGTTTATATAGTATACTACCCCAACGTTTCTACAATTTACATTATCATCATCAGTTTATATAGTATACTACCCCAATGTTTCTACAATTTACATTGCTATAACTAGGTGAAATTGTGTTCCGTTATTGAAAGTGATTTTTACCCTAAATGTTGCTAGATTATCACATTATTTATTTAAAAAGGATCTCATAGCATGTTTCATTAGATATCATTATTAAACTAGAACCAGAATATTTTAAACTGTATTTTATCAAGTTGAACATCTAGTTGCATAATTTAATAAACAGGGAAATGAACTTAGACTTTAAGATTAGATAAGTTATCATCAATATTTCTATTCATTTTAGTAGGATTCAAAATATTAACACTTTATTTTAGTCATCTTCACTTATAATTCCAGTCCACTCAGCTATAAATGGGTACGGATAATCCGGGAAAGATCAATGCCAATAGGATTGTTTACGGATCAGCTGGTAGAAAGGATCCTTGTGAATCTAAGTTGTTATCCTTGTAAAATCATTACCAAGAAGTTTGGTCAAGGATCAGCTGGTAGAAAGGATCCTCGTGAACCTAAGTTGTTATCCTTGTAAAATCATTACCAAGTGGTTTGACCAAAGACCAGCTGGTAGAAAGGATCCTTGTGAACCTAAGTTGTTATCCTTGTAAAATCAATACCAAGAGGTTTGGACAAGGATCAGCTGGTAGAAAGGATCCTTGTGAACCTAAGTTGTTATCCTTGTAAAATCAATACCAAGAGGTTTGGACAAGGATCAGCTGGTAGAAAGGATCCTTGTAAACCTAATTTGTTATCCTTGTAAAATCATTGCCAAGAAGTTTGACCAAGGACCAGCTGGTAGAAAGGATCCTTGTGAACCTAAGTTGTTATCCTTGTAAAATCATTACCAAGAAGTTTGGTCAAGGACCAGCTGGTAGAAAGGATCCGTGAGAACTTAAGTTATTATCCTGGTAAAAAAAAGCAAGATAGCATCTTTAAGCAACTAATTAAGTTTGTCAGTCAATTTCAAGTCAATGGGTGTAGATGCAGAATGTACTATAGGCGCGTAAGTTAATATTCTTGTAAAATATAGTCGATTCTTTCTTTTAAACTTACAATGAGTTGATTTTAACTACCCAATAATAGAATATATGACTGGTGTCTATGTTTAGAATCAGACAAGATGAGTAGATATAACAGTGTTTAACTATAGTAGTATGTTTTGTTGTTATTGTTTTTTTTATTGTACAGAAAATACTGTTATTATTTGTCTTGCTACGTGTTTAATAGATAACATTAAACATGATAATCCTTTTGTAAAGAAATATATATATCGTATGTAAATACATACTTGACCTTCGTATAGACTTCAATTTATTATTGATCTTACGCCAAGCTGGTGGGGGCATGGTGAGGGTACTGCCTCTCTAGAATAATAGTTTGCATCCCCACTTTATCTCTAACAAATCTGACAGTATGATTGCTATATTTTGGTCCAGAAAAATGTTTCAGAATGGACCAAATCAATTTCATTATCTTAGGAGACGATCTATGAGAGGCTTGTAACTATGACACCTCTACAGAAGTGCTGAGTTTTGAATTCAGACTTGTTAGTTGTCCCCCCATTGAGTCAGTCTGCCCTCTATTTGAACCCCCAGTCTAAGAATGTGCCAAGCCTCAAGGTACAACAGTAAACTGAAAATGCATCAAGTTGGAAGTTAAGAGCCTAGGATATCCTAGCACTAAGATCGTTCTGAGAATACCCTGCCTGCTTGCTATTAGGTCAGCTCTTGACTTCAGACAATATATACGGATGTGATAATGGCACGCCTGTCAAACCTGGTCCTATCAGTTCCTAAGGATGCAAGATTCAATCATCTGTAAATCATATCTCCAGGACTAGGGTTGTCTGGCTGGTCAAGTTCATATCGTACAGAGTGTTCACATAGTAAAGTTCTGAATGATGCTGTTTTGACAAAATTTCCCTCATTGCACACTGCATGGTGTTACGCATCATTGGTAACCCAATTTCAAAACTTAAACCAACATAGGTACAGACTAAATCCATCTACATGTTGGTTTGCAAGTTGCCTCATAGTACACTGCAGGGCATTTACTTTGGCCAAAACAGAAACACAAAAGGAGGATATAAAACTCAATTTTTTCCATCGATATTTCAATAAAAAACATTTTCAAAAATAAGTAAAAAAAGTTTACTATTCTAAAAATAAGAACTAGCTAAATAATTCTTGATAACTTGAGGTAGTAAAAGTTGATTAATATGTTCACCATTACGACGTAAACTGTTCAAAATGACTAATTTACACGAATGTTTGAGAGATCTCATTTCACCGTTAGCAACAAGTTGATTCAAATAGGCAATATGGGCGCTCAGATTGTCTGCGTTTTGGTCTGAAGCCTTTGATTGCCGAACCATCAGTCGCGGGATTGACTGAGTCTTTAAAAGGGAGAGAACTCCTTGTACATGAGGTAACGAACAATAATTTAAAATAACGCTTGCTGCATTGTGTCCGTCCATCCATTCTAGAATTGATAAAACTGCAGGAAAGTTAGCCAGTTCCAAGTTAGATAATGGCAATTCTGGATCGGCACCATATTGGCAAAATAGATTTATAAATTTAATCCTGAAAGTATCTTCCATGTCTTTGATATGATTCCGTAAAAAATGGTTAAAAATTGTTCTGTTTGTTACATGACATTGGAAATTAGGGTCTGCACCATGTTTCAACAATAATTCTATAGCTTCATAGATAATTTCAGGATTCAAACTTAAAGTTGCTTGTGAATACGGTAGTGAACTATACTGTAGAAGAACTTCCAATGGGACCTGGCTCCCAACACTCTTATTAGACATCTGATTTGGGTTGAGGCCATGTTTTAATAACAATTCCAAACAATCTAGTAACACTCTTTGATAAGAGTCCACAGTGTACGAACGTTGGGGGTCAGACGTCATGGTCATATCTGAGATGGCATCAGCTGCTTTTTTCCAATAACACATAACATCAATACGACTGATTCCAATTTCTTCACACAATATATGAAGCCCTGATTTTCCATTCTTGTCCACAGCATGAGCATTTAATCCATGATTTAAAAAAACTTGAGTATTGTTTCTATAATTATATGGATGTAATTTAGATCGATATAAAATATGTAAACAGTTTCTAGATTCTGTCATACAGTTAATATTGGCCCCATATTCCAATAAAATTTCAATACTTCTAGTATCGCCATTCCAAGCAGCTAAATGTAAAGGCGTTTTACCGTTTCTATCACAGATCTGGACGACATCCTTGAACGATTTTTTCAAGAGTAATTCTATCATAGAAGCACTGCCGATGGAACACGCTTTATGTAATAATGATGAAGGTTCACGAACACCAGCGTAGAGAAATCTTAAAGCAAGACATTGTATAACGTGGTTCGTAAGAATATAATCCATACACTCAATGTTTCCTCCTAGAATACAAAACTCAAACGCTTTACCCGAACGAACATCATCCCGGCTCTCGATTTTACACACATTTTTTACCCCAGTGTCCACCTCAAAGTCTAAATTCAACAGACTGATATGAGAAAGAGTTGCTGAAACTTTGTGATCAAGAATATATGTTATTATATCCAAGTTTCCTACTAAACATGCTAAATGTAAAGGTGCATTTAAAAGTAACATTTCATCCACTATATCTTGGTACTGATTTGAAGCTTTATATGTTGAAGGGTCTAAGAAAATTGGATGATGGATGGCCAAATATTGAACTAAATCAAATCTTTCGTTTAAAATTGATAACTGGAAATAGTTTAACATTAAATCTGGATCCAGCCATTTGACAACAGCGTCTGTTTCTTGTTGTAGAAATAATTGATGGATTTCTTCTAAAGTTCCACCTCGTTTTATTTCTAATCCTATTTCTATTAATGTTCCACTTTTATCAGATTCAGCCATTTTCTGAAAAAGAGATTGAAAAATGCAAATGTAGTACCGTACAAAAAGTCAGAACCAGTTTTACATAAAAACAAACTAAGGATTATGAGGATCCTTTCTACCAGCTGGTTCTTGGTCAAACCTCTTGGTAATGATCTTTCTCAGATTATCTGTACCCATTTACAGCTGGGTCGACTGGAATTATGAGGAATGATGACTTATTCAAGGTCATCACACTTTCAGACAAGACTATACATGTTAAATATCCTTCAATTTGCAAATCAAAGATTAGGTTAATGCCACTGTCCAAGAAAAATTACCTTTACCTCATTGCACACTGCAATGTAAGATGTAAGAAGCACATCTGCATTCCATTGAATACAATATAAGCTTTGCACCTGAGTGAAATGATAACATTTCATGAAAAGTCGCATTTGACAGGTAAATTCATCCATTGTGGTCTGATTTTTAAGATTCCACAACTTTTGTTTGGTAAAATTTACAAATTTCTTAAAATATTTTATCGAATTTATTGTTTTTGTGTAGAAATGGATTCTAATCTTTAAAAATACCAACCTCGGCTACGTTTTAAAAGATTTTCAGGTAGATTTTCTTGCTGAAAACAATTTTGATTAACAGTCGTCAAAATGTCAACAAACACAATAACTTGCCCTTGAGTTTGGACCAATGGTCGCTTGCAGCAATAAACAAATTATAAACAAAAAACATTCTCTGGCATTAAATCATTTCAAGATTTTTTATTTTTTGAGGTTTTTAGTTGATAAATTAAATCTTGTAAAAAACTTAATTTGAAATTTTAAGGCAAAAATGAACTTTTTATAAATTTGTTTTTGTTATTGATTGTGGCGGTTAAAAAGCCAGTTCGTTTTGTTTTTAATACTTTTGAGTATCATTAAAATTTTACTATTTTGACGTTTTTCGATATTTTTACTGAAAAACCATTGAAAATTCTCTAAAAAGGTGAATATCGTTTGAAATATTGAATCAATTCTTGGAAAAATCCCCAAATTACGAAAAAAAAAAATGAATGTTATAGTAGACTGTGTAAAACGAACTGGCGATATTGTCGATTTCCGGTTAAACAAAATCCGACAAAAGCGTTGACGTGTGAAATTTCTATATTTTAAGTGAAAATTCTGTCAATTTAGTTCTTGCAACAGGTGTGTATCGATTTTTTTGTTATTTAAATCTGGTTTTTTTTATCTGCCATAAGATTTTACGTCTAGGCTTCGTCTTGATTCGATGTATCGAGCAGAAACACTTTTCTTATCCGAAAATAGGATGTAGGCTTCTTGCAGTTGCAGTACTGTACAAAAATATGCTATCTTGATTTTGTTCGATTCAAGGATTAAATTTAACCAGTGATTGTTGTTCCATGAAGCTGTGCCTATATATCCTACTCTCAATTGCTAAATGCTATTCAAAGACTTATTCAATTCTACATTTAGGCATTCTTATGTCACAAGTAGAAACACTAAATTACAACACTATTTACAATTACTCTAAACTGCCTTTCAATTCTGTAGAAAAATCTGCTATTTTAATTTTTGATTCAATCGCAAAGTCCCTCATATATCTATAGTTATAGCACTTTCGCGATTAGTGAGTGGAATTGCAGGCACCACAGACGTCTGATTGAAAATTAGAATGATGTAAATTGATGCTATCAGTGTTCCTGATACACATAAAAAATTTAGAAAACCTCTTTACAATCTCTTTAACAAAAACCACAGACATCAGATTGAAAATTAGAATGATGTAAATTGATGCTATCAGTATCCCTGATACACATAACAAATTTAGAAAATCTCTTTAACAAGAACCACAGACGTCTGATTGAAAATTAGAATGATGTAAATTGATGATATCAGTGTCCCTGATACACATAAAAAATTTAGAAAACCTCTTTACAATCTCTTTAACAAGAACCACAGACGTCTGATTGAAAATTAGAATGATGTAAATTGATGTTATCGGTGTCCCCGATACACATGAAAGCCTAAAAATTTTTAAAATCTTTTACTTACAATGATAACTTACAGGGATGTATAAAGATTTCAACTAAAATAAAGTAACCATTAAAATATTCTATTTATCTGACCAACTCTTTAAATAAGACACTAACTGACGTATGATTCTGTATTTGTTTAAAGAGGCCATTTTTCTATGTTTTTGGCTGTTCTCCATATTTTCTGTTTATATTTGATTTTGTTGTGATGTATTTAACATGTCTTGGTAGTGAGACACGTTGGTGTTACTTTAACGTTTAAAATGTGGTATTTTAACGTCACTGGAGAAAATAGTTTGAAAGCACCTTCACAATCCATTCCACCAATCATACTTTAGTCTCAGAAACAGGAATTTTTTAGCTAAGCTAATCAGTAATAGTGTTCACAGCTCACTGTCGAAATTTGAGTGTTCAAATCCATGTGTGTCCATAATTATTCACGTTTGAAAGTTAAAAATTCGTATGTTAGTGAGACACTGTGCGTATTAGTAATTCTTAAGACTATTAAAGCACATTCAAGACCCAAATCAATCCCCGAAAATGCTGACTGTTCCTATTTAAAGGCAACTTTTAAGGCACTTCACCCCTGCGCATCAAAAAAAAAATGGATTAGGTTTTAGGGAAGGAAGGATCAATTCTCCTAAATGTACTGAAGAAAATGTATTAGGCGATGAGAGCTGACATTGGGCCAATTCTCAAAAACACTTGCACAGGTATCAGAATCGTATAAGAGTTAGCCTAGGGTATGACCCTTTTGAGCAGACCTCAAATGACCTAACACTTTGGAAATTATAATTTTCTGTTATTTTCAGCAATAAATTAAATTTTCATGATTATTTTTATAAAAATTGTAAATAGTATTGAATGACCTAACGTTAATGATATAAAATTTGAGGTGGAATTTGTGAAGTTGTAAAATGTGTTGATACATGTGCTTTGGATGTAATTTTAAACTTCAAAACATAAAATATGGACTATACAATAAACCACTATATTATACTAGACTACAAAAAATTAATTTATTTAAAACCAATTCAGTATATTGATTTGAAGTTATATTGTTTGTACAGTATCATTTATTTTTATTGAAGTTAATTTAACATCTACATTACAATATAATATTGATCTATAGGTACAGGTTGATATATTAAAACAGAACCTGAAACATGTTAATACTATTTATAGAGGTTGAAGTGATAAACAGAACCTGAAACATGTGGACCTTCAGATTAGCGAGCAAGCGTCTAACTCACTGACTGGGGGAAACTGGGTTGAAAAATCTGAAGGTATTATCTTAACCTATCTCAGGATAGAACCCTTGACCTTCAGGTTAGCAAGCAAGCATCTAACTCACTGACAGGGGGAAACCAGGTTGAAAAATCTGTTCAAAGGTATTATCTCGACCTATGCTGGGATTGAACCCTTGACCTTCAGGTTCGAGAGCAAGCATCTAACTCACTGACAGGGGGAAACTGGGTTGAAAAATCTGAAGGTATTATCTTGACCTATGCTAGGATTGAACCCTGGACCTTCAGATTAGCGAGCAAGCGTCTAACTCACTGACAGGGGGAAACTGGGTTGAAAAATCTGAAGGTATTATCTTGACCTATGCTAGGATTGAACCCTGGATCTTCAGGTTAGCAAGCAAGCATCTAACTCACTGACAGAGAGAAACTGGGTTGAAAAATCTGAAGGTATTATCTTGACCTATGCTGGGATTGAACCCTTGACCTTCAGTTTAGCGGGCAAGCGTCTAACTCACTGACAGGGGGAAACCAGGTTGAAAAATCTGACGGTATTATCTTGACCTATGCTAGGATTGAATCCTGGACCTTCAGGTTAGCGAGCAAGCCTCTAACTCACTGACAGGGGGAAACTGGGTTGAAAAATCTGAGGGTATTATCTCGACCTATGCTGGGATTGAACCCTTGACCTTCAGGTTCGAGAGCAAGCATCTAACTCACTGACAGGGGGAAACCAGGTTGAAAAATCTGAAGGTATTATCTTGACCTATGCTGGGATTGAACCCTGGACCTTCAGGTTAGCGAGCAAGCATCTAACTCACTGACAGGGAGAAACTGGGTTGAAAAATCTGAAGGTATTAACTTGACCCATGCTGGGATTGAATCCTGGACCTTCAGGTTAGCGAGCAAGCATCTAACTCACTGACAGGGGGAAACTGGGTTGAAAAATCTGAAGGTATTATCTTGACCTATGCTAGGATTGAACCCTGGATCTTCAGGTTAGCAAGCAAGTATCTAACTCACTGACAGGGAGAAACTGGGTTGAAAAATCCGAAGGTATTATGTCGACCTATGCTGGGATTGAACCCTGGACCTTCAGGTTAGCGAGCAAGCATGCATCTAACTGACTGAGTCAAGTTTGAAAGCTATAGTACAAGTAATTGACTAGACAGTGGGAGTGGACTTGTTGTTTTTATAATAGAATAATATTAATAAGATACTACGTGGCCACAACACACCTGTCTTCTAACAAATAAACTTGACTTCAATCAGAGTCTAAAACAACTCTCTAATTTAGAAGGTAAGAATCTATACTGTACAGTCATCACGGACTGGTGGGTATTTGATCGAAATCAAACTTTTGAGATAAAAATGATATTCTCTTCATTTAAGATAAAGCTGGTTTGCCTAGAGCACAAAACAACATATTAATTGTATAATTTTAATATATCTATAAACTTTTGTGATACAAGACAGGTGGCTATTACAGTCAAGGTATAAGATGAAGCTTGTAATAACTTGACATTGTGAAGATGAAGTTTGTAATAACTTGACATTGTGAAGATGAAGTTAGTAATAGCTTGACATTGTGAAGATGAAGTTTGTAATAGCTTGACATTGTGAAGATGTAGTTTGTAATAGCTTGACATTGTGAAGATGAAGTTTGTAATAGCTTGACATTGTGAAGATGAAGTTTGTAATAGCTTGACATTGTGAAGATGAAGTTTGTAATAGCTTGACATTGTGAAGATGAAGTTTGTAATAGCTTGACATTGTGAAGATGAAGTTTGTAATAGCCTGACATTGTGAAGATAAAGTTAGTAATAGCTTGATATTGTGAAGATGAAGTTAGTAATAGCTTGACATTGTGAAGATAAAGTTAGTAATAGCTTGACATTGTGAAGATGTAGTTTGTAATAGCTTGACATTGTGAAGATGTAGTTTGTAATAGCTTGATATTGTGAAGATGTAGTTTGTAATAGCTTGATATTGTGAAGATGAAGTTAGTAATAGCTTGACATTGTGAAGATGAAGTTAGTAATAGCTTGACATTGTGAAGATGTAGTTTGTAATAGCTTGACATTGTGAAGATGTAGTTTGTAATAGCTTGATATTGTGAAGATGAAGTTTGTAATAGCTGA